AAACGGTAGACTAATGCATGTCTTTCAAAAAATTGCAACTCTTCATTTTTTATTCACATATTTAAAAGTTAACAACATATACTTCATATATCAATTCAAACCTCTAATAAATGACATTGACCTTCAATCTATATTGTATCATCCCTAGACAAAATAATGATTAACTCAAATCACCATAGGTAAAAATATCATTATTGAGAAACGTTACATTAATGCATGCAACAATACAAGTATATATAGGATTATGTTTGATCGAGTATTCCTATCTGGCGATAATTTTCTAAGTAAGGTCAAAATGGGGCTGATATTAATACATATGGGAGATTTGGTGGAGACTTAATTTGTAAAATGGTGTGACGGTTGTGCAAGTTTCAGAGAGGAGGAGAATGTTAATTTTGAAAATAAAAACTTTAAAGGGATTTCTGATTTGTGGTGGTGCTACGTAGGCGGGCATATAATTTTTATGCCAAACTACATGCTTTAACACACTCATAAGCCGTAAATGACACGCAAAATGTCATGTAGGTAAAAAGTGCTCAACTAGCATAGTTTTGAAGTCCTACAAGTGTTCAATAGGTACAAGTCTTAGAGCCTATTTGGATTGGCTTAAAAGTAGCTTTTAAGTCAAATATAAAAAGTCAAACTTAAATATTTTCAACTTTTAAGTCAAAAAATAAAAAGTAGGGAATAACTACTTTTTGCTTTAAATTTATTTTAAATTATTTCTAATCTTATCAAATATTTTCTAACTTATTTTAAGTCATTTTTTATATTTGTTAACACTTCCAAAAGTTTAAAACCGACGTAAAAGTAAATTTGATCAACTTTTAAGTCAATCCAAATACTCTTAATTGAAGTGTTTAGGTAAATTATGTAGACAACATTATATGGAAAGCATGGATTACTAAAATAACCCTAATTTTTTTTTGCTGACAATAACACCCATTGAAAATAGAAAATTTGAAGAATTTAAAATTGCTTAATAATTTATACACTAAATCGACTATATTCATCTACTGTGCATCTAGCTATAGCTGAAATGTGTAAAAACCTGTTTTAGATTATTCCCCCCCCCCACCCCCCCACCCCCCTCATTTACTTTCTTTCTTTATTGAATTCCATTAAAATTCTTACATAAAATTTAAATTACAATTCTCCTATTTAATTAATTATTTTTCTCCTATTTAAGATTCATCTTTACGAGAAAAAGGTACATTTACAAAAGAAAGGTTTTTGTTTGCCTTGAAAAGAAAAATTGAGATAGTTGATGCCCCATCTTGCCTAATATCTCTTATATATGTGAAAGAATTTTTTTTTTTAATCAATTACAACAATTTATGATTACTTTTATTATTGATCTATTTTTTTATGCAAGCAGAATACCATACCATACATGCAAAAATATTTTTTTTTGCGAAAATATTTATATGCAAATTATTATTATAACAGACAAATAAATCTCAAATCTAATATAAAAAAATAAAAATATTGTATTGTTAATATCATCGAGTGACATATATGCGTATGTAATATAAAGTAACTATTACAAATAGTATTTCAACTATCTTATTGAACTCAAATGTCAAGTAATTAAAATATAATATTAATCTTCTCATCCTTGAACTAGCATTTTTGATATACTTTATCATGTTTCTTTTTCTAATATATCAATTGAAGTTGTATAAAATATTTTGATACTAATTAATATCAATATACGTGCACCGTACATACTCAAAACTAATTATTAAAAACAATTCTATAGAAATTGTGTATAATCATATCTCTAAATAACCAAAATCAAAACAGATATCCTCTGTCAAAAACACTAACACTATATGTATATAAGTTTGGACATTCGATCGATTTAATTTCATTTTGTAAATTTCGATTCGATTATTCAATTTTCAATTTGGCCAAATGTGCAATTAAACCAAACTGAAATAAGTTCGATCTGATTCAATTTGATTTTCACTCTAATCAAATTTAATTAACAATGATCTGTGGCATCTGAATAATTATAGCAAGTTGAAAAAAAAGCTATAGAAATGCACGAATTGAAAAAGATTAAAAAAACTGTAGACTTCAACATTACATGTATTTAACATTGTTAATTTCTCATATTTCTTTTGTATATTCTGATATGTGTAGGAACTCAACAAGTGCATAATCCCATCTCTAGCACAACTTTTTGTGAGCACAATAAACGCATAATCTCATATATTTATAAGCAATTTACATGTATTAACTTTTTCATTCCCTTATAACTAATTAAATATATGTTGTTACATACTTACGAGGTATGACAAATTGATCAACTTCCAAATACAGTGCACACCCCTCAATACTGACGAGTGGATACTCATCTTGTATTTAAAATTAAATATAACATAATTATTTTTTTTACATTAAGTTAAGACTTAAATTGTGATGAGTGGTGGCCAATGATCAGTGAGTACTTGAGAGACCACAAACGAGAATTCAAACTTGAGACGATATTAAAGATTTCTAAATTTTCAAATTGGAATTTGGATTTGACATGGGCTATTGAGCTAAAAGTTAATAACAGTGATTCAACTATGAGCGGCTAGCCATAGGTAAAGATATATATATATATATATGATATATCTAATTTTGGTTTTTTAATTAGCATCGAATCGAAAAACTGAAATTTTGACAATCAAAATCGAAACCAATCGAAATGATCGAAAAATCAAAATCAAAATTTAAAAATAATTGATTCGGTCAATTTTTTTTATTTTAACCATATTATGCCCAAGCCTATGTATACATGAACTTTAGGAATCGAAATTATGTTAATTTATTAAATCTATAATAAAAAAAATTATAAAGTTGTTTTTTTTTGGGCAACTTTCACATATAACAAACAAAAAATTCATATTTGTATGCTATAGCAAACTTTGCATAGTTACGCTCCGTAGCAAACATAAAACTATATAATTTGCTATACATATACAATTGTATAATTCGCTGGCCTAAATTGTATAATTCGCTTGCCTATTTCGCTGCAATTGTATAATTTGTTTTGCATACAGTTGAATCGAATTAAAATGTATGTATATTGCATAATTATAAGTGTATAGCAATAAGATATATGTTTTTCTCGCTTTATACAAAAACAGAAACACAATATATACACTTCTGTTGTATAAAGATAGAGAAAATTGTATTTCACTGCAATTGTATAATTCGCAATTGTATAATTCGTTGGCCTTTTTCTTTGCAATATTTGAAGTAAAATGTTTGTAAATTGTATAATTAAGTGTACAACACAAAGATATACATTTTTGCATGTGTATATACAATTTTCTCTCGTTTTATACAAAATAGAAACAGAATTATACACTTTTGTGTATAAAGAGAGAGAGGCGAGCGAGAAAGGAGAGTGGCGAGCGAGATTTTTGGGAGAGAGACGCTGACAAATTTTAGCTAATGTTTGCTATGGAGCACAATTAAATCAAACCCTAGCTATTTCATTTAATTTAGGTTATTAGTTTGCTATTATATACATTTTCCCTTTTTTTATTTCAATTTTGTCGGTTCTTTCAATTTACTCATTTTTTTTACAATTACACGATAAATAAAAGTGTACAAGCTCCGACAAAAATAAAACAATTTAATTACAGAGCAAATACTAACAAATTCAATACGTAAAAGTAATGCAATAATAATTAACTACACCAAATATATATATAGGTTTTATTTAAATTATATTTAACTTTATTTTATTTTTATTAGTATCAAACCATATCAAGAATTGTTGATTTTTCTTGTAAACATTAAATTAGTCACAATTTTTTTCAATTTGACTACTTGACGATTTGATTTGTATACCCCTACTTCCATATGTCAAAATTAATATTTTAATTGTTTTTTTTTAAAGATTAATATTCGATGAAGTTGCCCTCTCGATTATTGGATTGATATATATAAAAAGTTAAATTTTACTGTACATTTTACGTAAGTTTCTCTAGTTATAGCAACGGGAAATCCAACCTAAAGCATCTATGTTATATAATTTATAAAATGTGTACCAACACACAAGTAGTATACTTTAACTGTGTTTATAGATGGTCAAAAGTTACATTTACATTGAAAATGTGAGAATTTATTGTAGTTAAATTAGTCTTGGATCGAAAGCATCTTAATTAATACTACTGTATAATTGTGTATAAATATAATATATCGAGAAAAGATAATTATATTAAATATATAATGATTATACATCAAATATCTATATAATACATTTTTATCCTGTTCCTAATCATTAACATCACAAGGAAATGAATTAATGTCTTTGTACCAAGCACCAAAAGAAAAAAACTTTGTATATTTTCAAAATGAAAACATATTGTGATTTAATAGCTAAAAACGGACGATTAAAAATGCTTCTTTTTTTTTTAATATAAGGCTCACATGTGCTGCCAGTTGAGTTAATATTTGTAATAATTTAACATCATCGCATCACCCATAAATTATAATCAATGACATTGGAATTTGCAAGAATAAGACAAATCATCTTTCAGAACATGTCAATTTATATCATTAATGTTTATCTACTCTGTCATGAATATAATATAAAGATAAATTATGATGAAAACACCAACTGTCCTAAACATGTTTAAAATAATATTGCTTTAATTTGCTGCAATTCAATTCTTATGTTTGTATGTACTTTTAGTACTAGTTGACAATATTATTCCTCTATAACCTGGCAAAATTTAACTCAAAAAATAACAGAGATTCCACCTTTTTAAGTTTCTTTTATTATCATTATCTATTATTAGTTTTATAAATTTTCAAAGTCTCTCATTTTCACGCATCAAATTAGTGTATCATGTATAAAATATAATGTATCTTACCTAACAATTAATATATCTCGTGCATCAAATTAATGTATCAGTGCTTTATATTATTATATCAGTTTGAAGTATTTAATTTCTTTTCTTTGCCCAATTTAACTTCCATGACCCATAGAAACATTATGTTAAAAACTTTATTATTAGCATATACACAATAATATGACTTTACAAAACATTAAACAAATGAATGAATTAGCAAATAACAACAATAATTGGCTTTGATTTCAGCGTTTATCAGGTGTAACAGGGAAGCCAATTCCATGTCTCCTAGTTGGAAAAACTACAAATAACAAACTACAAATTACCCCAATTCCAATAGGAACAACATCAAGTACCTGTTTTGTTTCATGATCTGGTGTAGGATAAAAGCAATTCACCACATTTTTATCTCTCAAAGCCACAGCAACAAATACAAGAACAGAGAGAATAGCGTGAACAAAATCAATAAAACCAACTCTATACCTGCTCAATTCACCAGGCACACCAGAAATCGAAGCTGCCTGATAATCGAAAATCCATAAACCTTTGAAAGTAGCTAATCCGTAGTAAATTTGCCCGTCTGGTGCTTTGAAACTATCGGTGAAACAAGCTAAAAAGCACGAAAATGCGAGTAGTGCAAGGAGGACTAATGTCAATGGACGAGATGCAGTGTCACACGATCCGTTGTTGGTGAAAATTGGGATTAGTAATTGGAATGCTAAGAGAGTTCCTGTTGGGAGTAGGTTGGCTAAATGTGCTGTGCTTTCTAAGGCACGTTGGGAAATTGATGGTCGCGGTATAGCTGGACGCTCTGCTTCATGATCGTTGTTGCTTGTTGGAAGTAATGGAATTTCTGATGCATCTGTGGATGTTTGTTTAGAGGAAGTTGATCTGGCTCGTAGAGACATGTCCATCTATCAGCACTAAAACAATCGAATATAAAGAGTCTTTGTTAAAACTTCAGGAATTCGAATACTAGAAAAAAAATTACGATGAAATTGAAGGAGGAGATGAGCATGAGCTAGGTAGGTATGATGATAATCTAAATGAAATTGATCATAATGGGAGTTTTATGCGTGTAAGGGAAAGAGGGATATACGTTTAGTTTGGTATTATATTGACCTAATAAAAAGTAGTAGTTACCTATATATTATACTATTGAGGAAACTTCTTGCTTGTCCAAAATGACTCTCATGTCTTCCTTCATGTGCTGGCAATACACGTTAATATTAGCTTTCAATATATGTTTGCTTCTAAGAATTGAATGATTCATTTTTCACATTTTAAAAAATAAAATATGATTCAATGTTTTAGACTAAAGTCAGAACAAACTAGTGGAAGGGAAGTTGGTGAGGTGTGACTTGGCACAACTTTTTTTTTTTTTGGTACCTTCTTGTGTTGTAGAAAATTGAAGATTAGTTATTTATTAGAACTTAGTTTTGATTGATTTTGTTAAGCAAGTTGAAGAACACTATTATGAAGAACACAGAAGATGAAGACCGCCAATAAGAAAAGTTGGTTTTCTCCACACTGCAAATGATTACACATTTATAAATTTGCCACATTTAGACACTCAACTAAACTACAAGAATTTATGTACATAAATATTCTCAAAAGTGCATTTGAAAAGAGACTTAAAAAATTTCAAAGCACAACATACCCATTATCTAGATTCTAGATCTTCATTCATTCAGTGTGTCTGTTCTTCCCTTTTATTGCAAGCACAATCAGTTCTCCCATCAACCAATTTTCGCGCTTCACGTCCATGCCTAACAATGGTTTCTGCAAGAGCAGAAGAAGCTTATTAAATCTGCTCTATGTGTAGACTAAAGACCTATTTTAGCACTAGGCATACAAGGATTGGTCAGTTCAAATTGGAATTGTCAAGTTATCATCCATAATGATCTATTCAAAACAACAAATTATTTTGATACAACAGCTAGTGGTTAAGAACTTCCTAAATTGTATCATATCAGCTGCATTTTGATTCCTTCTGGAACATAAGCCAGTTAGACTCGGTTGCATTGCATCGTCAAGCAATTTTTGCTAGACTCCAGTTATAAATTACAACACCTATTATGAGTTTACAAAGTTTAGCACAAACTAAAACCACAGAAAAACCTTTTTGTTGGTTAACATAATTCAACTTTTTGGCAGAGATAATTTTTCTCCCTTGCTCATTTGTACGAGGGATAACTAATTGCGAGATTAGTTTTTGGATGAACTTATCTCAAATTTGATTTACTTATCCCCGAATTGTAGTGTTATTTATATGGGATAACAATCATGGAATGACTAATCACATGATAATTAATCCGGGATAACTTGTACCCAAACCAAAGAGCCCTCGGAGACTATTAAAGATACTTTCTTTCCTTAATAGTCTAATTAAACTTAAAACTCCAATATAAGCCACCAGAAGAGATTAAGATTAACCCCCCCCCCAAAAAAAACTTGAGACAGTCATTTCGGAATGTAATTACACCATATAACACAAATCTCCTTCTAGTACTTAATGCCCAACAATATACTTAAAACATTCATTTGATACTATATAATTTGAAAAGATAAAACCTAATCATTTTGACCTAATCTTTCAAGTCCAGAACAAAGAATAAGCTCAGCGACTAAAGTTTCAGACTGATCAGATGCAGAGAGACTAACCTCAGATAGGCGACTTCAAAACCCCCCGAAAATTTGACAATGGAGCTTGAAAAGAATGGCAAAAAAAATTTTGGACCATTTCTCGATTTGTGCGTGTCATCCTTGCGCAGGGGCCATGCTAATCTTCTCTGTATCGTTCCAATTTTATCGGATGTCCCCGAAGGGACAAACTACACTGTTAGATTTCGCAATATAAACAGCATATAGCTTTTTTCTGTAAGCGATGAGGGAGAAATCTCTGGTTGAGTTGAGTCTTCATGCTAACACGGGCCTGGAATCGGTTTTGCGCTTTTTTCAATGAAGCCCAGTTGTGTGACGACTTAATTGTAATGGCCCGGCCTTCTTATTTTACTTGGTTGGGCCCAACTTCTTCGCTATTTACTCAACGTGAAAACTTACATAAATATACTATAAATTAAAAAGATTTATCATTTTAATAATAAACTTTTTTTTAACCAATTGATCACCGTTAATACATGTTTAATACACTTTTAATTCATATTACAAAAAATAATCTATTATTCACTTATAATTCAAGTTCTAATGATAGATAATATATTTATTGCACATTCTAACGTACTTATAATACAATGCATCAACTTCTTATCAAACAAGCATAATATATTTTTAAATACATATCTATTGCATACTTAATTCACTTCTAATACATGTTGCATATTTAACATAGTATTATTATAAATGATAATAAATAAAAAGTACCGCTAAAATTAGTAATTATCCATTAAAAGACACTCATCCAAGTAATTTTTCCAAATTGAAACTAACTGATAACAATCCTAGGTTACATATCGACAAGACCTCCTATTTCAGGATTTATCCATTTCACACCAACTAAAGAAAAACTTAATTATTGAGGTAGAGTAGTATAGAGACATAATGCAACTGAACTAAGAGAAAACTCGCAATACGAGAGTAAAAATCGTGTGGAGAAAAATTTATTCAAGTTAAATAGGATGAATATTGAGCGAAATATGTATATGTGTGTATTTTAAAGCATAAATTAGTTGTATGTGTACATAACTACATATGTGAAGGGATCAAATGTATGACTACAAATTACGTGGGAGATCAATTGTATGTGAATGTACATATTATACATATGACAATATTTGATAAAAGTAATATCATTTTCTAAGGATCAACAGAAGCCCTCCTAAATTGAGGCGGTGAATGAATAAGATTGGAGCGAAAAAATCACTTTATTGAGTTATATGAAAAATATTATTATTTATTGTTTAATTACTTTTTGAATACACAATAAAATAATAATAAATATGTACAGTGACAGTATAAATATATCTACACAACCAAGTAACTGATTGAGTAATTATATAAATTGGTTGATATCAATTTTTGATTCAGTAAGAAATGTAAATGATGTGTTGAAATTTATAAACATAATAAGTATTTATTACATCATATAATTTAAATTCAATTTTAAAAAATCACACCTCAAAACAATAACGAATAGTTACCAAGAAAGCAAAAAGAAAAAACCCGCAAAACAATATAACTTGCAAAAGGACCTCTTTAAAATTAAATCGAGTATCAAAAGCGTAATTTGCACAAAGCAAAATTTGAGGGGAGTTAAAGTGACATATTTATAAAAACGGTGGGTTAGTATTTTAACAATATTAAAAAATTACATTTATAAATAGTATTATCTCCAACGTGGAAGGGGAAGGCGAAAAGTGAAAACAAAAGAAAATAAGGGAAAAAAAAAGGGTTTTTTATGGGTCTTGGTTTCTTGTAATTCCGACAGAGTTTTTCCTTCCGAACCTTAAAACTTTCAAATATTTTTGGATATTTGAATTCAACCGCCAACGAATATCGAAGCAAAAGAAAATAGAGTGCAAGTTTTTCCCAACTGAAGGCTAAATTGCAGAAGAAAAGGTGAGATTCTTGGCCCAAAGTACCTTAAAGTGTTTGGTTCTTCTAGGTGATTTATGTTTTCTTTTATTAATGGGTGTTTTATCTTTGTTTTCTTGTTTTAGGTAAATGGGGTTCTGTTGGTTTGTCCAAGATTGTGTCTTTGAACTTCTTGAATCTTGATTCTTGATCCTTTGACAGATTTTGAGTTCGTTATTTTTTCTAATACTTTTGCTAATTGTCTTTTTGATTCTTGGGTTATATGTTGGTTTATCGATGTAGTTATTCTTTTGATGATATGTTGAGGGTTTAAATTAGATTGGTTTATTTCTTTTATGTTCTCTTATAAATCTTGGTTGTGGGTGAATTCTAGGGTTTGGTTTTGTTTCCTCTTATTGTTGGGTTTTGGAGAAGAGATTTAACATTGGAGTGACGCATTATAGTTCTGTGTTTTTTGAAGATTTACTTGTATCTTTAGTTAACTTCTCTTTATGGAAGACAAGCATAGAAAGAATGTATTGCAAATTCTATTCATTTTAATCAATTTTCTTATTTTGAGGTGTTGTAGATCATTGAAAAGTAAGCGTATATGACACATTAAGACATTGGTGCTTTATGCCCAAGTCAGGGCTCTTGAATTTGTTTTGTGATGGATTTCATTATGTAGCTCGCAGCTGAAGTGGATGTTCTTTAAATCTTTTCTAACTGGGGCGTGTTTATTGCGATTTCTGTAGGCTGATCAGTTCCGTGCTTGCAGTAGCGTTGTGCCAAAATATACAACTTAGCCGATCCTTTCACATCGTTCTAAGAGTATCAATTTTCAACTGACTAAAGGCTATAGCTCACCTGTATCTGTTTTTAAGGAAAGATGAAACGCCGTCGTGGAAGCAAAAAAGGTAAATCAAAGAAGCTTCGGACAACAGGTACAAGTGAGGGAGCATCTAATAATGGTAGCATGAATTCAGAAACTAGTTCTGGTACTGAAGATATCGACAATGATGGAGTTAACTCTGGCGTTGAGGCTGAGACACCATCCTCTACCGGAACTGCTCAACCGGAGAAACCTGTGATTGTTTATTCTGGTGTGCCAAGGGACAAACCTCCAGGTTTAGCAGTTTATGGACGTATGAAAGTAAAACTCAAAACAAAAAAAACACTAGACACTCAGCTCAATTCTTCAGAAGTAGCTACTCATAGTGATACTGATAAAAGTAGCCAGCAAGCTGGTCCAGAGAAACAGGTTGTCTCAAATGAGAAAATGGAAGACAGTGCAAACTCATTGCCTGAGGCTAATGTAACTACCCCAGGAATTGTGCTAAAAAAACCTGGAGGCATAAAGATCAAGTCTTCAAAGGGCTTTTCTTCAAGCATGAGCCCTTGTAGTAATGTTGAAATAGTGAAGGAAGAGAAGTCAAAAAAACAAGAGCCTGAGTTACTTCACCGTGATTTGAGATTAAACAAGCAAGAACTAGACACTGCTTTGGAGGTAAGCATGGCAAAGAACCTATTTATTCTGGCATGTTCACAAGATGTACATTTAAACAAACATATTCCATATGCCATGTGTGGCTGGTTATAGCTGTTGCCTGTTAGTTGGCAGGGAGGCTAAAGTTGAGCACAAGTACAATGGGAAGTTACCCCTCCATACTAACTATTTTAGCCCCTCCAAGATTGGGCGAATATGAAAATTTATGTACCTTTTACTTTCCTTTCACCCTTACCTTCACTGCAGTGATAGTAAATACTGAAAACATCAATGAACTTCTCTTTTGTTTTCCTCCTCCCCACCTCCCATCTGTTTCATGGACCAAACACAGTTTAAACATAGGTTACCATGCTAAGGGGATTCATAATCTTAAAAGACATCTTAACATTATCGCTTTTATACTGATTTATGTAATCTTGTTAATTAGGTTATAAGAAAAATTATGAAAATGGATGCTGCAGAGCCCTTCAATACTCCAGTCGATCCTATTGCTCTTGGAATTCCTGTAAGTAAATGATTTTTTTTCTTATATTTCTTTTATTCCATAATATGTAATGTCATCTAGAGTTGGCTTTGGAGGTTCAAATTCAACAATTAGGAATCTCATGTCCACTGTAGGAGGGTTTTGTTAAAGTAACAGAGAACCGTTGAAAATTTATTTGATTGACTAATACTATTGTAAATAGTTTTCATGTAGACTGAAAAAGTCCGTATCTTTTGGGGTCAACATCACTCCAACCTTCATTGAAACAAGTTGCTTGTGGCATTACTAAAGTTCAAAATATTACACCTCTAGTCCAATATCAGGAAACTGGTTTTACCTAGGAATATGAAGAAAACCCCTCTAAAGTGAATAGTGATGCACAGAAGTATGTAGAGATTGTAGTCTTGGTCTTCTGAATATTGTCACAAAATCTCTTGGATGCTTTTACCTAGTCCCTTTTCCCCTTCATCTAGTACATTAATAAATTCTTATTCAACTGGTGTGTGGAACAGGATTATTTTGATGTCATAACTACACCTATGGATTTCGGGACAATATGCAGTAATCTGGAAAGTGGTGGCAAATACATGAATTCCGAGGACGTCTATAAGGATGTGCAGTATATATGGGAAAACTGCTACAAGTATAATAATAAAGGTGATTATGTTATGGAGCTCATGAAGCGGGTGAAAAAGAATTTCGCGAAGTACTGGACAGCAGCTGGCTTATATACTGATCATCTGCAAAGTAAATCTCTCTTGTACCTAATATATTTTCATATCAGTATCACTCTGCTGAATTTGCTTATATGTTTTTCTTCCTTTTCTGCAAGTCTTTCAATTAGACTTTTTTCATCAATGTCGCATATTAACAGATGTACCTTGCTTCAGTCTTAAAATAGTTAATCAGCATTTAATACACGTCTTCTTACCTTATTAGGTGCCGAAAGCAGTCAAATTAAGGAGACTACACCTTCAAGTCATGGAAAGGAAGTTACAAAAAGTGGTTCTTTAACTCACAAACACAACAAAAGGCTTCAAGGGTATGTTGATCTATGTTCTGTTTATGTTTTTTCCTCATTGGCCATCACTTGTTTGCGGGGTCTAGATATGTTTTTATGATATAAATGTGGAAAAATTGGACACTTATTATCAGATAAGAATAACACGTTTCTTTAACCAGAAAAAGAACAAGAGAGTTACTCTAGTGGTAAAGACACTTGCACCTCCACTTCGAACCATAAGGTTGGTGTTCTAGCCACCAACAGAGCTAAGTGGGAAGGACCCTGCTGGGCTCCCGGAGAGGGAGCTTACCATATCAGTTAAGAAAGTTTTTTATACAACCAGAAAAAAAGTTTATAGAGATGAAAATCTTTATATGTTAATTTCTACATTT